TATGGATAGCCAGTCTTCCCAGCACTATTTGTTAAAGAGGCTATCTTTCCTCCAGTGCAAGTTTTTTGTCCCTTTGTCAAAGATCAGGCAGCTGAATTTGCTTGGAGTCTGCATCCTCCATTCTGTACCACTGATCCACATATCTGGTTTTTTTGCCACTGTCATGCTGTTTTTATTACTGTAGTTTTGTAGCATAACTTGAAGTCTGGAATTGCAATTTCTCCTGCCTTCCTCTTGTTGCCCAGGATTGCTATTTAAGTTCTGGCTGGGCGTGGTGGCACACCCTGTAATCCCAGCACTTGCCTCAAAAAGACAAAAACAAAGAAAAGAAATAAGTTCCATATGAATTTTAGGATTGTTTTCTCTAGTTCTTTGATGAATGCTTTTGGTATTTTGATTGGGATTATGTTAAATATGTATATCAGTTTTGGAAGTGTGGCCATTTTGACTACATTAGTTCTACCTTTCATGGAACAAAAAATATCTTTCCATTTTCTGATATTCTCTTCAACCACCTTTTTCAGAGTACCATAGTTTTTGTTGTAGAGGTATTTCATTTCGTTAGGTAAATTCCTAGACATTTAATTTTTCTTTTTTTCTTTTTTTCTTTTTTTTTTTTTTGGTCTTTTTTGAGACAGGGTCTCACTATGCAGTTCAGGCTACCCTTGAGCTCACTTTGTAGCCCAAACTTGTAATGATCCTCCTGCCTCAGCCTCCTGAGTGCTGGAATTATAGGTGTGCGCCAACACACCTGGCTTCTTTAATTTTTCTTGATGCTATTGTGAAAGGTATTATTTCTCTAATTTCTTTCTCAGTGAGTTTATAATTGGTGTACAGAAACACTATTGATTTTTGTGTGTTGACTTTATATCCTGACATGCTACTGAATTTGGTTATTGATCCTAAAAGTCTTCTGGTGGAATTTTGAGGGTCTTCTACATAAGGAGTCATATCATCTGCAAATAATGATAATTTGTCATCTCCCTTTGCTGTACATGACCCTTTTATTTCTTTCTCTTGCCTAATCTGTCTGTTTTGAGAACTACATTGAACAGGATTGGTGATAAGCAGACATCTTCATCTTATTTCTGATTTTAGAGTGAAAGCTTTCACTTTTTCCCCTGCTTAATATGATGTTGGCCATTTCTTTGTCATGAATAGCTTTTCAGATTAAGATAAGGTCCTTCTATACCTATTTTCTTCAGGGTTTTGTTTTGTTTTGTTTTGTTTTGTTTTGCTTACCATGAATGGATGTTAGATTTTGTCAAAGGCTTTTTCTCTGCATCAACTGAGATGATCATATGTTTTTCCTTGCTTCTGATTATCTACTATATTTATTGATTTGCATATTTGTTTTGTTTTGTTTTTTTGGTTTTTCTCCGGTACCAGGAACCGAACTCACGCCAGGCAGGCGCTTTGCTGCTGAGCTAAATCCCCAGCCCCATGATTTGCATATGTTGAACCATCCCTGGGATGAATTCTTCTTTGCCTTGATGTGTTGACGTTATTTTCTCTCTGTGAATTCAAGTGGAGGAAGCTTATTCCAGTTTGGAGCATCTGTATGCCAACACTTTATTACTGGAGTATCCTAATAGTACCATTTATTCTCATTACAGAATGCCTTATTGTACAATGTGACTAGTCGTAATTTGGAATGAGAAATAAAATAGAAAGTTAATTTTCTGACTTGTGAACCATTATATTCAAGTTGAAAATGTACAGTTCTGATCCATATTATAGCCTATGAGGAGCAAAATTTAAATGCCTTGCCAGTGATATATAAGGAAGACACATATGTTTATACTGAGTAGATTTTTTTTTAAGTCAGGCTGGGAATGGCACACACCTGTAATCTCAGAACTCATGTAACTGAGGCAAGAATACTGCAAGTTCAGAGCCAGTTGCAGCTACACAGTGAGTTCAAGGCCAGCCCAGACTATATAGAAACACCTTATCTGGGGCTGAGGATATAGCTCAGTGGCATAAGCACCTGCCTGGCAAGTGCAAGGTTGCAAGCTCGATCCCCGGTACTACAAAAAAAAAAAAAAAAATAGAAACACCTTATCTTAAAAAAAAAGTCAGAACCATCCTAAAAGATGATTCATCTGTTGCCTCATTGTCAATGAGCATGTGCCTTCTTGACTGTAGAATGACTACCTAAACCCAGTCAGTGAAGAGAACATTTGGAAATGTTCTCTGGAACATTTTGGAAAACACTTCAAGAGAATGCTTATTATTCTCTAATCCTCCCATTTTCCTACATATGAAAAGAGCTCCACTACCTGCAAGCCTCATTTTTTCTTTTACATAATTTTTAAAACATAAAATTTTAAAGAAAAAGGAAGAAATGTAAAACAGCCAAGATTTTCTGTCTATTGCATAAACATGAATCCCTTTACCACTGGTGAATGACCACATCTTTGATGACCTATGACAGAAATTACAGTTCAAATCAGCTTACCTGCTGGGAGTATGGTATGCACCTGTAATCCTAGCCCTCCAGAAGCAAGAAGATAGTGACTTCAAGGCTAACCTAGGCTATGTGGTGAGACCCTGCCTGGGGTCAAATAGAGAGTCTGTGGGGTAGCTCGGCAGTAAAGTATTTGTCTGCCACACACAACGCCCTTCCCTCCTCAGCACTTTGAAAGTAAATGAATGAGTGAATAATAAATGAATGAATGACCTATACAACAAATTTATTACAAGTTAATTTTTTCCTGGAGACTGGGTAAAGCAAATTTTAAGCAATGGCTTGCTTGCTTACTTGCTTGCTTTATTTATTTACATTTATGCTGAGGCTTGAACTTGGGGCCTTATGTAGGCTTTGCAATTGATCCTCCACTGAGCTACTCCCCCAGCTCTGGCCTTTCTTTTTGAAGTAAATTTAAGCCATGGTATAACCAAAATACCTAAATCAAACACTGTTTTTCTATTTTATAGTAATGAACAACACATTGCTCAAGATTTACCAGAAAAGGGCCAGGGATATAGTTCAGTGGCATAAGCACCTGCCTGGCAAGCACAAGGTCCTGAATTCGATTCCCAGTACAAAAAAAAGAAAATATTTACCAGGAAAGTATGAGTAGAATACACAGCACTGATCATTTGATGAATTAAGTTATGTTATGGTTAAAGACAGATGTTGAAGAAGACACTAAAAGATGGGAAAAAATGCCCATCTTCATGAATCAGCAGGATTAACATTGTTAGAATGGCCACAGAACCACAAGTGATCCACAGAGTCAGCGTGGTCTCCATCAAAATATCAATGGCATTCTTTACAAAACTAGAAAAAAAAAATTCATTTGGGAAAAGACCCAGAATAGTCAATGTAATCCCAAACAAAAAGGGCAAGAATGGAAGCACCCCAATGATTCACTTCAAATTGTGCTTTTGTTTTCCCTTGCTTTGTAAACTTTCATTTGATGTCTTTCTATCTGTTGATTCTTGGTATTATTTTCTTGGCTATTGGAGTCCTATTCAGAAATTTTCCAGTGCTACCTTAGTTACTTTTCTTGTTTCTGAGACAAAATACCCACCATCCAAAGTTAAGGGAGGAAAGGTTTATTTAGCTCATAGCTTGTAGAGGTTTCAGTCCATATTCAGCTGGCTCCAAGGCAGGGTGGCATGGCAGACAGGCATTGTATCAGAGAAAATAGTTCATGATTACCAGAAGGCAACAAACCAACAAAGGACAACCACAGCTCTTTCTATCCCTTATATCTTATCCCAGCCCCTTAGAGTGGGTAGCACTCATACACTTTAATCTTACTGCCTTTGATCCTAGCATTGTACCATGCATCAATCCCAGCGTCACCCACTCTAAGTCCAGCCACCTCTGAAAAAGCATGACTGCAGGAGTATTATTCATTCATAAAAAAGATTGAAATTTTGTCTCTTGCAAAAAAATGATGAAAGTGGAGACTGTTCTGTTGAGCAGAATAAGCCAGACACAAAAAGACAAGTATTGTATGTTCTTCCTAATATATGGGATCTAAAAAAGATGCCATGAAGGTAGAAAGAAGACTACTATCAGACAAGAGGAAAGAGTAAGAAGTAAGGTTGAAGAGGGGGATAATAGGGAAGATGGAGTTGATCTAAATACATACATTGAAACTCAATATTTTGAAAAATTAATAGGCACTCATAATAAAGAAAGAAAAAACAAGCAGAAAATAGAACTACTCTAATGGGCCAGTTATAGAAAAGTGAATGTGTAAGAGGTGAGGATAAAGTGTCTTAAGAAAGAAAAAACTTCAGTTATGGATTCAACCCATACTGGTACCTGTGTGATATAGGCAAACACACTCTGCTGGTATTATAATAATAGCACTGCCGCCCCATAGCCACAGATAATGACAGCTCAGCCGTATTCTCCTCAGATACATCAAGTACAGCTAGCTATTTCCCGGCCATAGAAAGACACTAAGAATTAATGTCATTATGTGATTGCTACAAGTCTAGTTTTTGATATCTAAATCCTGCTTCTTGTGATTGTAAGAATACCCTAATAAATCTAATAAAGACAATATCTTAGTAAGTGCTAATAAAAAACCTGTTAACATAAGATTTTCCATAAGGAAATCTAATAATAAAATGATGAAGGCAAAATTTTATGAACCTAGAATCATAAACCAGACTAAGTTTTAGACAACCAACTAAAATGTATGGAAGTCTTCACCCTAGTAAACACTACCTATCTTTTGATGCCACTCTGAACTCTGCCTTTAATAAAGTTGAAGGGGCTGAGGATATAGCTCAGAAGCATAAGCACCTACCCAACAAGTGCAAGGTCCTGAGTTCTATTCCCAGTACCAAATAAATAAATAAAGTTGAAGATAATTCTTCAGTCATTTATCAAGTTCCTGGGGGTCTTACTGAAAGCAATTTTTTAAATCTTTAAATCTAAAATCTAATTTATTAGTAACACACAGGTGTATGAGTCCAATCAGAGTGACTGCTTAATTTTAACATATCTAAAATTGGAATAGACACTTTGGTTGTACACAGATTTAACAATTCTTTTATTTAAACTCATGAATTCCAAAAATATCACATGGATTTTTTACACTTGATCCAGTCTGCATGCTGTAGTTCATCAAGAACATTTCTGATGTTCTCAACACAAACTTCTCCTCTGTGATGTTTTTTTGATGCAAGATTCCACACATTTTCAAATTCTTCTTCAGAAAGCTTGACGCCAATGTTACACAGTATCTCTGCAATCTAGAAAAAAGCATTTAAGGCTAGACTAAAATGTGCATATTTTTTAAAATATATTTTAAAATATCTTTATAACATCTAAGAGTATAGATACTTATACCAAGTATGTGTGTGCATGTATGTGTGGGTAGGTATTTGTATGAGTCTATGTATATAAAATGAGAAAATATCAATGTACTTTTAGCTCAGGAATCATTTTGTTATTATGAACATAAGGTATCCAGCTATATTAGCCAATATATACAATTATTTTCAAGTCTAACAGTTTCTGATTCTTTTATGGAGAAGTAGCAAAATTCAAGTAAAAACAGTAAAAGAAAGAAAGATTTACTGGATTTGACTTTCATCCAAATTATTTATTATCATCATGATTTTGCCTATCCCAAGTAAGCCACTTGGATATTTTTTTCTCTACTTTAAATTAACAAAAAAATTACATATATATAGAGAGAGACAGATAGACAGACAGACAGAGACAGAGACACAGAGAGAAACAGAAAAAGAGAGACAAAAAGAGACAGACAGAGAGAGAAAAAGAGAATAAACCCAGGGCCTTTGCACAGAGCTACACACCCAGCCCTTTTTCATTTTTTATGTATAAACAGGTCTTGCTCAGATGCATATTCTGCTCTCAAACTTGAAATCCCACTGCCTCAGCCACTTACAGTACTAGGATTACAGTGTCTACCCCTGAATCCAGCCTAAAATAGGTATATTTGTAAAAGATTTCTAACTGTCCTGCTATGAACTTTAATTATAGTCACAACTGTGCAAATTCCAGACAGATAATGCACATGTAATCAAGTGAGCACACTAAATGCTCAGCACACTGAATACTAGCACTTTGGTTACGGATAATCTCTCTGCAGTGACTGATGACTATTAAAAAGAGAACAGTTGGACATGTGGCACCTACCTGCAATTCCAGCATACTAGATG